GCTGCCACCCAATATGGCGGACGCGCTGAGTAGTCACGTAACCGTGACGTCACCTGAAAACCCCCTATTCCATTTGGAGAGCGAGATCATCTGTGGTAGCAGCACTAGACATCTTCCAGGCATGTGAGTAAAACTAGCAGCAGCTCAGCGGACTGGCAGAATGAACGGTAGCCGGCGCGCTCAGATAATAACGTAATAACGTTATAACGTAAAAAATAACCCTTTAAATGGGATACACCACGCTTAAAAAAGTGCACACATGAAAACCCCTGAGGGTCAGAGACTCTCCCACCACAGTCTCCTAAAATCCCGTGGGAAACACTGAGAACCCAAATAAATAACTCACTGTTTTTCTTTTCTTCCAGTTTCTCCACAAACGGACGCAGCAGTTTCTGAACAGCAGCGTCTCTCCGTGGAATCAACTCCATGATATCTCTCATTTCAGGGATAGACTCCTCCTCTCCGTAGTGCTCGATGATGACTTCAGCCATTTGTCCTATATTCCTTATATTCTTCTTACTTTTAGGGATTTTTTCCAGGTATTCCAGCATTACAGCAAACTGTTCTTTAGTAAGCTCCTCCAGTATTTTGGTCAGGGACCGTTTCCATTCATTTGCTGAGATCTTCGACATCTCTGAGACAAGCAGAGAAAAACATCCATGTTAGCGACACCAAACCAATCAGAATGACATCATTTCCTTACATAACGAACTTCGAAACAATCAGACTGTATGATCTGGTTGAATGGTCTGTAAAGTGCCTTGAGATTATGTGCTTTGAACCAGTGGTATTTAAATAAACTGAAATGAATTGAACTTAATCACCCAGCTACTTTCTTACAACAGGTTTATCTATCTATCTATCTATCTATCTATCTATCTATCTATCATCGTTTTAATTTAACTAGATAAAATCATTGTAATACGCATATTACCAAACATTCTGTTTTTTCCTGCTGAATTTCTGTTTCAGAACTTGTTGAATATTCAGATGCTATTATTATCTAATAAATGATACCAGTTAGACTGCAGAAAACAGTGGGATTGAATCAGAGTAAACTTTTTCACAGTCCTTTTAAGACCAATAAACTACATCAGAGGATGGAGCTACAATGGTGTATACCTTTTAGGGTTTTTTTGTTTTTGTTTTCATGTATCATATATTCCTCACAATGTTTGGCTTTACTTGTTGAAAAAAATATAAAAATAAAGTTGAAATATCGTGTAAGAATATTTTTTTTTTAGTTTAGGAAAATCCAGAATAAATATATATTTTTAAAAATGGTCGTAGTTCAATGTTAAAACTTTGTGGACAAAGACCAGCCGAGCTGATAGAAACGTGTGACTAGAATGGATTAGATAAGAGCACCGAAATATTTACCTGAAACAGAAACAAAGGGAAAACTACAGATTACCGGGAAGACTTTAACTATCAGCCTATAGCAGGAGCTGCTGATCTGAGATAAGTTTAAAAATAAATCAGAAAATGCATTCGTTTATAAGAGCAAACAGAATTAGCCTTGTGATGTACAGTAAATCCATACTTTCTTTAAAAACCCNTAAAGATTGAGGTTCTGTAGTAAAACTAGGATGTGAAGTGTGGGATATTTCAAACATTTTTAATTGTACAGTTCTGGATTCCACTCACCAGCTGGAGAGTCCTGCTGGTCCTCTGGGTCAGTTCTGTTCCTCTTCTTTGCTGTAAATCACAGTTTAAACTGGGATTAAGAAACCAGCAAATCTCTGTAGATGATCATGAATATAATATAACTGTTATAAACATCCAAACATCAATACTGAAGGACCATCAGAACAATCCTGATCTCCTCTCTGTCCTTTAGGACCTGAGGTTCTGCTAGAATCTGGTTCTGAGCGTTCAACAGCAGATCTTGTAAGTTCTGGGAGGTGGGGGTTAGAGGTCCTAATTTAAAGAGTCTCTCATCGCACCACCATTCAGTGACAGATTGTCATGGCAACCAGGTAATCGATCAGTTGTCATAGTGCTTTAAGATGGTCAGTGTCTGAACCGCTCTTTAATGTAGAAGAACTTAATCTCTGTTCCTAATGGGTTCCGGATCCCGGAGCCCAACAGGGCCCAGAACCCGAATAAATAACTCACCGTTTTCCTTTTCTTCCAGTTTCTCCAAAAACGGACGCAGCAGTTTCTGAACAGCAGCGTCTCTCCGCGGAATCAACTCCATGATATCTCTCATTACAGGGATAGACTCCTCCTCTCTGTAGTGCTCAATGATGACTTGAGCCATTTGTCCTATATTCGTTATATCCTTCTTACTACTAGGGATTTCTTCCAGGTATACCAGCATTTTATCATACTGATCTTTCTTAAGCTGCTCCAGTATTTTGATCAGAGAACATTTCCATTCATTTGCTGAGATCTCAGACATCTCTGAGACAAACAGAGAAAAACATCCATGTTAGCGACACCAAACTCATCAGAATGACATCATAAAAAACTCTGAACCAATCAGACTGTATGATCTGGTTGAATAGTCTGTAAAGTGCCTTGAGATGATGTGCTTTGAACCAGTGGTATTTAAATTAACTAAATTGAAATTGAATTACCCAGCTTCTTTTTTACAGGTTTATCAAAAAAGCTATCTATCTATCTATCTATCTATCTATCTATCTATCTATCTATCTATCTATCTATCTATCTATCTATCTATCTATCTATCTATCTAT